TCTTGGGTAACGTCACTGAAAAATTAACAGATTTAATCAGTTTTAGACATGGCTCAAAACTTAAAACAGAATGTTTTACTGAAAGTGTTTCTCAAAGTTATGGTTTAGAACGTATCTTTCATTTTTCTGATACTATAACATGTGATTTTCTTGATAGCTCCAATGTTGAAATTTCAACATGTGAATCAAGTAAAAGTCAATCCATGTTTTTTACGTCTTCATGTATGGAAACTCATGCGTTTGTTTTAATCAATATATCATTTTTTACTCTTCCTCAACCGTCAATTGTTAACGTTCTTTCTATTCCTCAGCCAATCCTCTCTAAGTGTGTCTCAACCAAAATTTTTTCCATGACCAGCAGTTCAATATTTTATCGCGAAATTCTGAATGTGTTCGGTAATACCTTCTCTTTCTCAACCGCTAATGCTAACTTGAGTTATTATAACAATGTATGCTCGAAACATTTGGCAGTTTGGTTTAAAACTAAAACATTTACTAAAGTTCAGATAGTGTTTAATAATTTTGACAAAGTGAGCAAATTTATACAAGTCATTAAACCCAGCGCCAGTAAGGTAGAGAATGTTTCAAACATGATGCAATTTTCAGAATGTAAAAAAAGGCCTTTGTGCTTTGCCACAAGGCAATTTTTGATTTTGGAAGTCGGAAAAATTGATGTATTAGGTTTGTTGTTCATTTTAAATCACAATAATTTTTCTTTTAAATTCGTTTGTTTATCACATTTTAAAAAGAATCTTTTACATTTTAGCTTACCAATATGTAGAAGAAGAATCTGATTCACAGAATGAGTATGTCACTACCACAAATGTTGACATAAAACCATATGAAAGAGCCAAAGAGCAATACATTGCACAAGCTGCTATTACAAATCAAAAGGTTGAAATGAAGTTCAATATATTTTTTGATAAAAACAAGTAGTTACAATTTTATTGGTTAATTTAATTCAATTTTTACCAGGCATTGACCAAAGAATATTTCATTAAACCGATTATTGAAACTAATAAAATTGAAGAATCGGTGATCAATCTGACATTTATTGATCAACATAGAGCTTCTAAAGATTTTCAAAGTTCGATTGCTTATGGTAAAACTAACATCAATAAAACATTGGCGCTGGCTTCAGCTCAGCAAGAGAAATTTAAAGAAGAAAATATATTTAATGCAGAGACCCAACGAACGCTTGTACAAGCGACAACTAAAAGAACAGAAAACGTTTTCATCAAACAAATGGAAAAATCTGTTAATAAAACTTTTGCGCCAGTTGCAAATGTTAAGAATGAGTTTGAAGAACATGTGACTGTTCAAGTAGGAGCTACACCAGCTCCTCAACATTTATATCAAGAAGAGGTAATTGTAGACATCGGAAAATCAACTTCAAAAAAAGAAAAAGTTCAGATAAGTTTGACTCAAGAATTTCACTCAGAAGGCGAAGAAGACGAATTGTTCGTTGAGGCTCGGGAAAGTTTAGACAAAATTGATATTGTGACTAGTGAAATTCAAGTAAAACGGCCGTCTGAAATTAGACATTGTATTAATGCAATTTCACAAAAACTTGATTTTGATGTAGGTCAAGTACAAACTCTAAAAACTATTAATGATACTTCTTCATGCACCGGTTCATTGATAGCCTCTAATCTTAGTCATCCTAACGTTTCTCTACCTAGACCAACTTTTATAAGAACGTCAGTTGGAACGTTAAGGCAGCAAGAGGTAGAATCAATGCACACTAACGATATTTCAATAGCTCATTGTCAATCCGATTTAATTACATCAAATTTCAGCAAAGCAGTCGAAAAGTTAGAATTAATTAGTCATTCGTGTTCAACAGTTGAATTGAAAAAACCAGAAGAAGTGAAAGTTAATCAAGAACCTCGATTCAAAGGTCTCATATCATTTCCCGATTACGTACAAGTAAAATTGTTAAGATTGGAAACGTTAGAAACTATACTTTACAGGACTTCCTTATTGGAATATTTAATGCTATTAGAAAAAGAACTTTCTGTAAAAACTATCAACCTTGATAATATTTCAATGGTATTACCTTTTCCAGAAATTGTTTCAGTGCAGTCTGGGCTTGCTTCTTCTGACAATCGGCCAATCACAAGAGTACAGACAAATGTTTATTTTATTAAAATAGAACAAGTTGCAGTTAAAGATATGAGTTTTGATATCAAAATACCAAAAACTTCAGTTACTCCACATTCTGAGTTTAAATCTATTAGAATTGAACAAGAAGCTATCAGTCGTTCATCTGTTCAAATAGGGAGCAACAAAACTGAAGAAATCATTGATGACTCAATTTCACAAACTTCCAGCATGCTTTGTTTACCTGAAAATTTGGTAGCTAAATTTGGCAGAGCCGAAACTACTGAAGCATCGCTTTACCGGGTTTCATTGTTAGAATACGTAATGTTACTTGAAAGAATCCTAGCTATCAAATCTCTCAATATTGACGATCTCTCAATGATCTTGTCACAACCTGAAATTCAAATGTTGCAAACTGGTTTGGCAATGAGTAATCAACAACCTCTTTCTAGAGCACAAATAAACATTTACTTACTACGTATTGAAAATACTTTTGAAGCCAATACTCGATTTGAATCGTCAAACGTTCGCCCAGTTCAAATTTTTGCAGAAATCAATAAAGCCAATAACGAAACCAAACTGCTTAGTCATACTTCAAGCATAATAAAACACCAATACCAAGAAGAAGTCATACTCAATGCAGTCTCCAAAATTATTTCGACACTTAATGTTCCAGATACTATAAAAACTCCGTTTACAACTGCTAAAACGGAAGATAAAAAATTATCTAGAGTTTCTACTACTGAATATGTAATGCTACTTGAAAGGTTACTAGCTTTCAACACACTTAACTTGGAAAATTCAGCCATGCATTTAGAGTTGCCTGAACTTGTTTTACTACAAACTAGTTATGCTCAAACCACTGAGAAACCAATTACAAGAGTTCAACCTAATTTATATTTTATGCGTCTAGAGCATACGACAGATAGGGACACTAATATAAAATCTGATGTTCCAAATTTATCAGTGATTAATTCTGAATTTGTTGTTGTAGAGACACCTGATAAAACCTTAAGTCACAGCTTGAGTAACATTTCTGAAAAACATTTTGAATTTGTTGAAGACACCATGATTGCCAAAATTTCACAAATTTATAATACGCCCCAAAGCATTGTAGCAAAATATTTAACTATTGAAAAGACAGAGAAAGTGTTAAGTAGAATAACAATAGCTAATTACATTATGTTGCTAGAAAGAATATTAACCCTAGCCCCTCTTAACTTAGACGACTTATCAATTATTTTACCAATCCCAGAAACTACATTTTTGCATTTATCTAGGGCATTACCTAATGAAAGAATATTAACTCGGACTCAAACAAATATTACATATTTGCAACTTGAACAGGTCATAGAAAAATTAAAAGCTGAATATGAGAGCATGATCAAAATGCAGCCATCATTTGAACAACCGATTGATTTAATGAAATCGTGTACGAATCAAAGACAGCTCACTCACGCATACACTAATCTGACAACTTTGAAACTTGAAAATGACGAACCATTAAAAGCCAGGAGTACAGTCGAACAAATGGTTAATGAAAATGTAGTATCTTGTGATTTGATGGCTCCTATGGTTGAACAAAAACCAGTCGCTAGAACGCAACCTCATTTATCCTTTATTAAAATAGAAAATGCAAATCAGCAAGAAATGTGCGCAAACGATAAACAGTCAGTCATGCCTAATTTTATCAAACATTATATGTTGTCAAACGTTATTAAAAACAGAGTTTCAAAGAGAAGTTTTGAACAAACAATTATGAAATCTGCATTTGAAACCTATATGAATCTAGAAAATTATCAAAACATGTCGCTAAGACTTTCTATCCCAGAAAATGTTACTACAAAATTATTCAAAGGACTCTTAGAGAAAAAAGTGGTAACCAGATCTGAAGCAATTAGGCTGTTGACAAAAATAGAACAAGTTTCTGAAGCAACGCTCTTTAGAATTGAAGATATAGCTATGGTTTTATCCATGTCCGATATTGTATCATCTAATTTGTTGTCAGCTAAAACATTCAACAGGATTGTAACTTTTGTAAGGACCAGCAAAGACGACGTTACGATAGAATTTGTTGACAATGCAACTATGATTAATCCAAACGAGTTAGCTGTTGTACTCTCTCCCTCTGTTATTGAACCAAAACAACTAACCAAAGTCATGAGACAGAAACATCCTCAATTTAGAACCAAAGTTGATCAGTTGATTATGATTTTAGAAACTTGCAAAGAATATAAAAAAGAATCTTTTGAAAGTCTATTTGTTCAACCGATTTGTGAGGTTCTCGAGTCAATAATGTCTAACGAATATTCGAAAGAAGTTCTTCTAACACATGTCATCACTTTGACAAAGCATTTCCTAACTGAATACACAAACGAATATAAAAAGCAAAATATGAATGATTTCAGTGTCAGGTTGATGGCAGCAGAAGTGGCCTATGATATATTTGAAAAATGCACTAAAAAAGAAAAATCTACTTTTTCTATAAATCATATTTATGATTACATTTTAGAAGATTTTCTTGAAGAACAAGAACACGACTACAAATTTTTAACTCAGCCGGTAATTTCTTTAGTTTCAGCAGAACGCAAAGAAAAATCATTTAAAACTCCGTGTAAAACCTTTGCAGTAACAAATTATATAAAATTCAATCAGGAAAACATTTCTCAACTGGTCGTAAAACCTCAAATCGTACACCAAGCAAACAAACTAACTGCCGATGAAATTCCAAAAATGAAAGCTAAGGAAAATGAACTTACTATTCATAAGAAAGATATAGAAATAGTAAAAAATGAAAAGGAACAACCTGAAGTCGTTAAAAAACATGAAAAACAACCAGAGAAACCTGAAACACTGTTTGAAGAAGAATGGACAGTTCAAACAAAAACCGAAAAAATTGTTGAAATTCAAGACGAATTTAAAATTGATGGCAGTCAAAAAGTTGAAAAAGATGTAATAATTCGAAAACCTCAAGCCAAACCCGAATCTCCAGTTGAGACTACCGATATGATCGAAGAATGGGAGACTTTAATAAAAACAGAAACTGTGGTAGAAAAAGATTTATCCATAGATATAGAAAGTCGCAAAGTAGAAAAAGAAGACGAAACTGTTCGTGAAGACATGTATGAAGAGTGGGAAACAATAATGAAAAAAGAATTTACGATTGAAAAAAACGAATGTTACGATTCCGACAATGAAAGTGAAATTTCAACGCAATCATTGTACGAAGAATGGGAATTTACCACAATCACAAAAACTGTAGTAGAAGAAGAATTTCCGATGAAGCGAAATATTGTCGAAATTAGGTATCCTCAAAAACGCGGTACAAACATAATTTTCGGACAAGAAAATATAACTGCCACTGAAGACTCACAAACAACTCTTGCAATCACAAAGCAATTAAGTGGTGTAAGGGCTAAAGATCTGAGTGAAATTAACAGGCAATATACATTCAACCAATTTGGGTTAATGTCTGAAACGTTTGATAAAGATCATAAACGTCCGGTGTTTGATGAAGACATGACCGTCACAAAAATAAAAATAGGACACCAAGTGGTTTTGACGACACACGTCGTATCTACTCCGGAGCCAATCTCTGTGGATTGGTTTAAAGATGGGGTTAAATTAAACGAGTCCAACAATTATATATTAACGTATGAAAACGGTTATTGTTTGTTAACAATTCGCAAATTTACCTCACGACATATTGGTAGATATTCTTGCAGAGTTCTGAATGAATTTGGTATAAATGAGTCTAGTTTAACAATAGAAAGAGCAATGATAACAGACTATAGAGTGAAATTTGAAGACGAGGATATCGTAGAAAGCAGAAAACAGTTTGAAACGAGTATCAGGAAAACTGTTGATCAGCCAGATTCAATTTTGAAAAAGCCGCGAGAAACGCTGACAAATCAATATACGGTAAATGAAGAAGAGTCACTATATGAAACCAAAGAATCATGGACTAAAGTATTCAAAGAATATGCAACAAGTTCAACTTCAGTCGGCTCAACATCATTGAATTTGAAAGCGGCATCAACCTCACAATCTCCGCCATATTTTGAAGAAGAAATATCATCAGTTACTGTTATTGATGGCGACGATGCCACACTTTCTTGCAAATTGTTTGGCGGTCCATTCACTTCAATAGAGTGGTTATTCAGAGGCAGAAAGATCGAAAAATCGCGAGATTTCATGATGTACTTTAAGGATGATTGTTGCTATTTAATCATTAAAGAAACCATGCCTACGGATCGCGGACGCTATACCGTTAGAGCCACAAACGATTTTGGATGGAGCGAAACACATATCTATCTAACAGTAATGGGTAAGTTAACCAAGAAAATTTTGGTTTTTATAGATTTTATTCAATTTTTTAATAAGATTCTATTTCTTAAAACAGATTCTTACGAGTTCAATCGTACGACAACTTCTAGTAAATCATTGCCCAGAGTTGAATCTGAGGAGGACATGTACTCATCTGGCGAGGAAACGCTAGATACATGGACTGTGGAAGAATGGGTTTTCTATGATTACGTCAATTACTACAATGTTGACGTCTTCATGAAACGAAATCAACTTTACATTACTAATTATTCTTACGTGCCTTATGATGAGAAATCATTCAAGGAAAGAATTAGTTCCGTTAGAGCAGCCTGTACGAATCACCCATTAGTTAAATTTTTCATTTACATTGTCGTAGTTATTGCTACAAATTTCATGAACAATTTTTAATTAAATTTTATTGGGTCGATACTTTTTGAAATACCTTTAATGTGCTTAGATAAAACTTTAAAAAGATAATAAATGACAAATACTTCTTTATTTGCTTACTTGCAGTGACAGACACGCACATGTTCAGATTCCCTGTTATAATCAAGGAACTGCCGATCTTGGAAGTTTTTGAAGGAAAGAAAGCCGTCATGGAGTGTGTAGTGGAGGCAAGTCCTGAACCCGTCATAACCTGGTTCAAGGTTAGCATTTGTAATTCGTTGCACACTTCAGATAAACAATACTTCTAAATTGCAATTATACTATTTCCTATTAGATTGTTAATAATTTTGTGATCATTAAAAATTTTGTTAATGGTAAAAACAGAAAGAAAAGTATGAAAAATTACGCAAATTATGCAATAAAATAAAAATTAACTTAAAGAATGGCAAAGAAATAACGAGCGGCGAGCACGTGAAGATAACATTCACAAACAACGTATGCACTCTGATCATCGAACACGTGGAACTGGACGATGAGGCCGAGTACAAGTGTGAAGCTAGGAACGAGTTTGGGTCATCATTCACTTGGGGTCAAATATACGTCGAAAGTCAGTCTCGCTGAAAAATATTTAGATATCAATAATATTAAATATATAAATTTTTAGATATTAATGTTTCTTCTTTCATTCTCGTGCCTTATCCTTTCAGGACATTGGCGACCATCGACCTCCACAAAACCCGATCTTTAACACTGTACTTTGTAGTAGTTGTTATGTGGTGATATTAAACAAGTGACACAAGGACTTCACGAATGTTCTTCGTTGTTAACCGCGATCTCTTTTCCCTGCAATCTTTCCAGTAGTTTTCCGCATGATGTGACCAAAAAATTGTAATAGTAATTTCCTCTTTTTATAACCGAACTGTTCTAATACATCCTCATTCGAAGTATGAGAGGTCCAAATAATTTTCATAATTCTTTTCAAAACCACATTCTCAGCGGCGTTAATCTTTGTTTTTCCATGTTTATATAATGTTTAAGATATAAATTTTCGAAAAACTAATTTATCAAATTGACGATTTATTAAATTAACAACCAACCATTTGAACAGCCGTTCAACTGAGATGGGGTAGAATAAAGAACTTCAAAATTGTCAGAAAGAAGTCCGAACTGGCTTCATTGACGAATTGAAATACGTTTGATTGGAAAAGTGATTGATTGAATGAATGAATGATGGTTAGTTGATTGACTGGTTTACAACCGGATTTCATGCAACTCAAAACCTTTTAGTGATGAATAATCGAATTTTTTTGTTTGACCCAATGTAGAAAACTCAATTTTGAATTTCATCATACACATTTTTTTCATTCAATTTCAGAGCATGATGAATTTTTTTAGTTGCTTATAATTGTGATTGTAAATTTTATTATCATCACGCTCTGGCCTGTTCACATTGACATTCAATTTTCTATCTTTCTCCAAATTTGCGGCTACGCTAAATGTTTTTACACAAAAATTATAAAATTGTCATTGAGCACAATTCAATAAACAATCGTTAAATAAATTAACTCAGCACCAATTGTAATTATGGTAAGCATTTTTCATATTAACATTAATCAAAAAACCATTTTTTATATAACGTTATATAGTATTTTTTATAATAAACGTACACTAATTTTAATTACATTCAATTACTATTCAATTGAAAAATCAATGAGAAAATTTAAACATCAATTAAACATGAAACGACAATGAAATAAACAGTTTGAAGAACGTATCACGTGCAAAATATGATATGTCAGTGTCACACACATCAGTGTCACATACACACACACACACACACACACACACACACACACACACGTCATTTAACAAATTTTTGAATTCTGTAAAACAAGAATATATAAATCGGATACTGTTTATCAGGAACTGTTATTTTTGATTACTATAAGGTATCTCTTAGTTTCAAATTATTGGGCCGTTATTGGTAACTTATGAAGAAGAGAATAATCTCAACTCGTGTTCAGCATCCTTTTTTCATTGAGTGATGACGACGACGACAACGATGAAAATAGTTTCAATGGTAGCTTCAACGTCCACAAATAATTCAAGAAGTAAAAATTAAAATGTCTAAAATATAAAAATTAACATTCAAAGACGAAGCCTATATAAAACTTGGCAGCATTATTTACGTAACCAGTTGAACAAGCCTCCTAGTTTATCCTTCGAGAAACATCAAATAGATGATTATACCATTTAATTATTATTAGCTAGAAAATTTCAAAGTTTTATGATAACGTTAGTTTGATGATTGATTAGCTATAAACAATCCAACCAACTGGTTCAACCGAAAATGAAACTCAACAAACAAATCAGTTTAACTAATTAACTCGTGATTGATGAAACGACAGACCAGATAATATGATCAAAAGAAATAACGTACACCGACGGGTTATACTACCGACCAACCAATCAGCCAACCAAACACCAACCAACAAAACAGCAACCGACCTCATTATATTCATCCTCCCTATCCAGGAAATGCAGCTGGTAGACACAGACGACACCGACACTGTCGCCAACGTACAAGCAGCTGGCTTCCTCTGCGTAGTGTAGGCAGCTGAACGTTCCGATGAAGCCATCCTGGCGGTGAATGAACACCGGGTCCAATCTGAAATCATGGTTTAAAATCAAAAATCGGAAATAAAAAATTCACGAGATTTGTGCATTATAAGAACAAACTAATGAAATAAGTGAATGAATGAATTTATAAATGAACGAACGAACGAATGAATGGATAAACAAATTAATGAATGATTAAACACGGGAATGAAACAATGAAGGAATTGGTAGGCGAAAGAACCAAAATTAACGGATGAACATTTACAAAATGAAAACTTCATCATCAGAATAAATTGAAATCTATTAAACAGGTTGCCTCAAATGAAAATTTCAATTGAACAAACTGAATCAAAATAACAAGACAAGTGCGTAAAGAAAAAAAAATTGAATTGATACGAAATGATCCAGTAACTAATTCATTACTTAATCATTAGTCAATCTTCACTCACTTAAAATAATTACTTAGTGACTACTTACCCACTCACACCAAAATACTTACTTGCTCTCAAACAGCCTCCAGATTTGGAGTTCAGATCCGTAGAGGCAAGCTAGTACTCCCAACTGCCCAGGTATCCAGGTTAAATCCAATGCGGGACTCTTGGGAGATCACATGAGCATGAAGATGGAGTACAAATGACGAGAAAGATGACAAATACGAAGCGATAATGATGGGGGATGATGACGATGAGGAAACTAATTGGAATTATGAAAATTAGATAAACATAGGTTACATCGCTAACGGTATACATTGCACCACGTAACGCAACGTCAAAAAACTAATTTTTTTCTTAACATAAAAAACAAATGAATTGGAAAACACACAGAAGAACTTGCAAAAACATCTCTTAGGAGCGCTATTTAAAAGTAGGTTGAAGTACCACAGTACTAATGTTAGCTAAAAGTACATAACAGACAAATAACCAAAGCCGTATATAAATATAATACTAATAATATTTATAGCAACAAGATTTAAAGTGTCTGGGGAAACTTTGGCCTGTGCTACAATACTTAAGCAACATCATCCTAACTAACATTAGGTGGATAGATGGGGAGGAGATCGTGGATGGGCCTGCCATCATCCTGGTGCCATATTTTCACCGTCATGTCCGCTCCACAACTTGCAAAAAGGTTCGGCTCGTCGGGGCACCATCTGACACGGTAGACAGGTGCCTGGTTGGAAGGTCAAGGACATTCATTCCTATTAACATTAATGCTGTTTTATGCATCACTCAGACCAGAGGTAGCACACTAAATACGCAATGCAAGAGTTGTTTGCATTTGATGACGGTCACTTCAATTTCAACCGTAAGCTTAACTTAATCATAGCGCCATCATTCTAAATGTATAATAATACGTAAGCTAAACTTATGATATGAAACTGACGATGTGGCCAGAGTAGGATTTGAAGTATTGATTAGCGTGGATGGTGGAACACATGTGTATGTAACCAGAGTCGGTTCCTACTAAATATCTGAAAATCGTTAAAGCGAGTATTGTTATCATTGTTTACTTGTAATTATATTCAATGTAAATGTAATAAAGATAATTATTTTGTTGATAATTGTAATGACAACGACAATATTTCATAACGATGTAAATTATTTTCTTAAAATATAATTGAGTAGTTTTGATAGGACCGCACATACAGTAATGCTGGCTGGTGTTAACAACAATAACAAAAGAAAAGCGGTAAAAATAGCCAAGGAAGGGACATCTATTTTGAAGTTAAATATATTTCATTTCATATCTTCCGGGCCCAAACACTTGTCCATTCAAAATGTTACCTTTGAATACGCACGCATGGCCGAAGATTCGGTTTCGATCGAACGCTAGTTTTGAGATCAGCTATAAACAATTTTTCATCATCACCATCACATTAATCATAGTCTTAACCATTGCTCATTGCAACAATTCTACATACACATCTGGTTGAGTTTCGCTGAAGTCGAAGCAGAGCCCTCCGTCAAACATCGACTCATTATCAGGCACGGATGAACTGTTGTTGCTATTGTTGGCTTCAACTCGCGATGACATAGACTTCAAAGTCATGATAACTGTCAGGAAAAAACACCACCAACAACAACTTATAATAGAAATGATAAATACTGGTCTCGTTATAATTATTATTATTATTGATGTTGTGCGATGTCTTGTGCTACGCGATGGTGTAATGGTAAAGAGGTCTGACATTGATATCGCAGTGACTGCGTTTGAATGCAAATAGATCTCAGACTTTCACACAAGCAATGTGTATGAGCTTTGATCTGCGCGTTTATTTGTTTATATTGTCGTTGTTGTTATTGTTGTTGTTATTATGACTATATAATAATAATTATTGTTGTTATGATCATTAGAATTATTATTGTTGTTATTATTGTTGACCTTGGCATTGCAATCCGTTCAGTGTAGTCCAATGTAAAACTCTTCCGCCTGTTGGAGATTACGGTAGTAACAAATAGTAAATTGGTTACGCCGCAATAATAATAACAACAATAATAATATTAATAATAACAATAATATTAATAATAATAATAAGAAGAAGGAGGAAGAGAAGAATAACAAATGAACGCAAAAATTGGCACAGATCAAATTGAAATAAAAATAAATAAAACGTTAACAATGGTATAATTATTAAATTACAATAATAATTATGCGAATCACGTGTATAAAAAAAATGGCATGAATAGTAACTTAACTAATTATAACAACATGTAGTTATTAATTATTTAGATGTCAATTACACTGTAAAATGATATAACTCGACAATTATGATATAACCAAATGATACAACTCGAAATCACATGATATAACCAAATGATATAACTCGACAACCATGATATAACCAAATGATATAACTCGACAACCATGATATAACCAAATGATATAACTCGACAATCATGATATAACTAAATGATACAACTCAACAATTATGATATACAATTTGGCAACCTATGGACGTAGAAATGACCACTTCATAGCCATTCTTTATCGTCCATTGAAGGGCAAACACGGGATTCTTGTGGGCAGTAGATATACCACTTGGTGTTCGAAACATTTGGGTTAATCAAACAATACAAATGCTAGTCTATCTAGAGATACTGGAATAGTTCTTAAGAGAACAGAACGTACGTTATGGTTGGTATTAATTTTTTTTAACGTTATTATTGTCATAAAAACAAACTACTAAATCTTCTAGTAAATCATCATCAACGCCGTCAACAACTTAATCATCATCATCGTCGTCATCATCATCAAATCATCATCATAATCATCATCATCATCCTCATCATCGTCCTAATCACCATCGCCACAAAGTTGACCACCATCTTCACTGTAACCACAAATCACTCATACCTACTAACAATGAAGTATAAACCAGGAGCGGTGTGAACTGACTGATGTCATAAAACAACAACTCACCACTGTGCAAACCCACCTGACGGCAAACAGGATGCAGTTTCATCACCACCACCACCATCATCATCATCATCGTTATCATCAACATAGTCATTATCATCATCATCAACACTCTCCTTTATCATCATCACCATCGTCAGTTTTGTCGTCGTCGTCATCACCATCCTATTCATCACCAGCCTCATCATTCTTTCAATCGTCACCATTATCCCCCATTATATAGCCATCTTCGTTAGATATACCACCATGATAATCGCCATGTGTGTGTGTGTGTGTGTGTGTGTGTTAAGTGAGTGTATGTGTGTAAAGTGTGTGTGTGTGTGTGTGTGTGTGTGTGTGTGTGTACTAATTGTATATGTATAAGTGCAAAAAATAAGTGCCTTTCTTTAACCTAACCCTCACATATTTAGTCAACTAGAGACTACATCACCAATACAACCAACACATTTTATCCATCATTATTTCCTCAACATACATTATCATTCACAAACACACACACACACACACACACACACACACACACACAAAAACACACACACACACCACACACACGTACATACACGCACAGCATCAAAACAAAAACTAACAGCAAGCATGT